ACTCGCACTTCCTCAGTGCAGCAGTGGATCGAGCATCGGCCTTGGGTTCAGCTGGTGCCAGGGCCCACGAAGAACCTGATATGTGCCATCAACGAGTACAAGAGGAAGCATTATCAGTTGCGGTGTGTGGTGTATGACATTCAACGTGCCCCTTATGGTGGAGATTATGGGCCGATTGGCCATGCTTCCTGGGAGAAGCGCTTCATGATTTGGGGCTGGCAGGACGAGCTCGATCGCGTGCCTGACCTGGTTGAGTGGTCCCAGGACTATTCCTCGATACTTTGCCTGCCAATCAGTGACCCCGTGCCAAAACCACGGGTGATGCTGAAGGCCCTTCACAGACGAGACGTTGACATGATTCGCAGGTTCATGCCACTTTCTCTCTTTCCTGGCAACGCCATCTGGCATCCTGATGACATCGAGCAGATGACTGCAGTACAGCATGAATCTGATGCAGAAGGAGAGGACGCTGACATGCAGGTTCAGGATTCGGAGTTTCTATTGGTCGACACCGCCGACCAGGTCCCTGGCACCAAGTTCGATCAAATTGGCCGTGTCCAAGTTGGACCCATCATCAACAGTTCGCCATGGCACCAAGATCAGCGCGCAAATCAGCGTGCTGCCGCCAGCTGCGGAAACGCAGCTGGAACTTCAAAACCAGTCACTGTGTTCTCCTCTGAGTAGAGACTGAGACAGGCCCGCCGCCAGCCACAACGCACAGTGTTTTTGAGGCTGAAGTTGTGTGGCCTTGGATTGAAAAAAATGCATCGAGCCACGGAGTGTGGTGTTCGCATGTGCATGAGCACTGCTAGGCTTTGTTGTTGTGTGAGTGCACGGGCATTGCTGCTGCTTGTCGTCCTGCCCTTGACTTGCATCGCCGCAGTCATTAAGGCCCGAGTTTTGCCGAAGGTTTCCAAACATGTCGTCTGAACACGAGAGCACGGTGATTTTCGGCAGTCGGGCTGACCTTCGCGCAGAGCGGAAACGCAAGCGTGATGAGTCGGGGGACTGGGACGAGCTTAGCCACCCAGACTTGCGGAGCATTCTGCAGCAGAAGGAGCGGCTTGGAAACATTTTGATGAAGTATTACCCCACGCTCCTCCATTTACCTGCGGATGCCATGCCTGAGACACCGCCTGTTGGCAACCATTCCTACACGGTCAAGCCTGCAGGATGCTGCAAGATTATGGTTAAGCTGGACAACTCAAGCTTTGTGGTGAAAGGCCTTGGACAATCACAGAAGTTTGGCTTCGGGATGAAGTTCTACGTGGGGAGTGCCGACGATTTGCCACTGAGTGAGCGAGTTATGCCAGGGCTTGTCGCAGTGGCTTGGGCAGAGGCCCAGGTCCTGGCAAGGAAGTGGCAGCAGAAGAAAGATTCCGAGCAACCTGATGTCTCGCCCAGCTGCGATGCAACAACTGAGCCATCCCCCGAGGATGCCTCTTCCGGAAGCCAAACAACACTGGCTTGGGAGCAGTTCAGCCCTGATCGACTTTGACTCCAGTACAGATTGGATCAGGTGTTCAAACAACTGCGCCCCCGCAGTTGGATGCCTTGCTGGTTTCCCAAACGGTGGTTTTTGCAAGCTGCAACTGCTGCTTGCTTCTTAGTAGCAACATGGTCGGGGAGACATGCAATTGACATGTCGCGGGGAAAGCTGAGAAGTTTCAACAGCCACTGCGTGTTCATGTGTTTCTCAGACCTTCCACATCACAAGGCCAGCCATGCCTGCCAGAGGCGCCAGAGCTCCTTTCAGCAATTGAATTGTTGAAGCCCCCCGAGGGTCACTCTGCGCAAAAGATGGGGGCAAGCGGGATTGGTTCGGGCGCGCTGCCATTGCGCCACTGTCCCTTGCTCCCTCTGTGGCAACTTCGGGGCCTGAACCCGGCCCAAATTTTGAACAAGTCTTCGGAGCCAACACGAATAGTTTTTCCAGCTTGAAAACAATTTAGAGCTTGAACCCGGGGCCCAAATGGAACATCTTTTCGGGGCCCGAATCCGGGACCCGAATGGTATACGACTTTTCGGGGCCCGAATCGGGGCCCTTTTCGGGGCCCAAATCCGGGACCCGAATGGAACAGCTTTTCGGGGCCCGAATCGGGGCCCGAATCGAACAACTTTTCGGGGCCCGGGGCTCTTGGCTGTGGATGTTTCTCCAGGGGCTCTTTGGAGGCCACCGTTTCAATCTGCACATTTGTGTCCACCAGCCATTCTTTCGGGGCCCGAATGGTATACGACTTTTCGGGGAACAGCGTTTCGGGGCCCGAATCAGGGCCCGAATCGAACAACTTTTCGAGGCCCGGGGCTCTTGGCTGTGCATGTTTCTCTAGGGGTTCTTTGGAGGCCACCGTTTTTGTGTCCACCAGCCATCTTTTCGGGGCCCGAATGGTATACGACTTTTCGGGGCCCGAATCCGGGACCCGAATGGAACAGCGTTTCGGGGCCCGAATCAGGGCCCGAATCGAACAACTTTTCGAGGCCCGGGGCTCTTGGCTGCGCATGTTTCTCTGGGGGCTCTTTGGAGGCCACCGTTTCAATCTGCACATTTGTGTCCACCAGCCATCTTTTCGAGGCCCGAATGGTATACGACTTTTCGGGGGCCGAATCCGGGACCCGAATGGAACAGCTTTTCGGGGCCCGAATCGGGGCCCGAATCGAACAACTTTTCGGGGCCCGGGGCTCTTGGCTGTGGATGTTTCTCCAGGGGCTCTTTGGAGGCCACCGTTTCAATCTGCACATTTGTGTCCACCAGCCATCTTTTCGGGGCCCGAATGGAATGACTTTTTCGGGCCCGAGCCCAGTGCCCGAATGGAACGGTTCTTCGAGGCCCGAACGGGTAGTTTTTTCTTGTGGTGCTTGAATACTTTGTGCAAGTTGGACTTTTTTGTTTTTTGGGGATCTAAAGCTTGACTTGCCGGTAGTTGAACCTTTCGACCATTGACAAACTCTTATGGGCCAGCATTGAAAAGATCTGGGCAGGGGGTGGACTCTCGCTACTTTCTTTGTCAAGCTCCAGCCGCCTGACTTCACGTCGCCGTTGCCAAAGGGGGCGTGCCATGGTTGTGATAAAGAGCGAGCTGGGGGAGATGAAGAACACCAAGAAGCTGCAGGCCGACCCCGTGAATGTCAAAACTACAACTAAGAGACGGCAGCTTGGAATAACAGTTCAGTCAATAATTGTAGTATGTGTTTTATTATCTCTTCAACTGTGTTCTTGAGCCTGCCCAAAACATCTTTGCAAACTGCACTGGGCCAGGTACGAGAACAGCCGGCGCTGCAACATCCGTGTGCGACTCACCAAGGAAGAACTATTGAATCTCCAAAACCATGATGAGTTGCTTGCTGAAGTAGATCGGCTGCGGCTGGACAATGACTCCATGAAGAAAGAATTAGATTTCTGGACCAAAAGCACTACCATGGGTGCACGGGACTGGTGTGACCGTCTCCGCCAGGCTGAGCAGAAATTCCGTGAAGCAGCTGAAAAGAACGCGCGGCTTGAAGAGGCCCTGCGTCATTTAAACAGCAAGTTGGACCAGCTTGCGCTTATGACAAACTGCGCTCGCGCAGTTTGTTTTGAGGCGGAAGCAGCCAGCGCCAGTGCCTGAGGCAAACCTGGCAGCTGCCATATGACGGGGTCTCACTGGCGCTGTCCAGCTGTATCTCTTTTCCATTGGCATGGGGCAATGCCGGAAAAAAAGAGAGCAGCTGCGCGTGCACGGCCTTTTGCTTCTTGCTTATCGGCTTGACTTTCTTCTTTGGGGTCCTTTTGGCCATGCAGCAACGCAAGTCAAGTTCAAGCCACCTCGGAGTAAGAGCGCATCCCAAAATTCTTCCCCCCCTCCCCCCTCTCCCCCTCCCTCCCCAAGATTTTCGGCAAAAAAAACACTTCCGAAAAACAGATTGTTTTGACAAAGAACGCGCACGCGAAAAAACAAGGTTTTCGGTCCAAAAAAAGCACCAAAAAAAAGCATAAAAAGCATGTCCTTAATGACCGGCCAGTGTAATATGTCTGCGAAAAAATGTAAAAAATTAAAAACTGAAAAACTGGGAAAAAGAGCAGATCGTAATCAACTTTAGTTGTTAGTCTCCGCAGAATCAGAATTACGGTCAAATCATTAAGTAGCCTCCTCAGAACTACGGTCAGACCGTAATGACTTTTTAATCTCCGCAGAATTACGGTCAGATCATAATCGATGTTAGTCTCCGCAGAATTACGGTCAGATCGTCATCAATTTTAAGAATTACTGTGAGACTGGTCGTAATCAATTTTAGTCCGACGGTCAGATCCTCATTAGTTTTAATCTCCGCAGAATTACGGTCAGCTCGTAACTAAGTTTTAGTTTCCGCAGAATTACGGTCAGATTGTCATCAATTTTAGTCACGTCCCCGAGAATTACGGTCTTCATACTGAACTCACGATCTAGCCGTAGTACCGGACCGTAGTTCTGCGGAGACCTGACAGTCTAATCGCGCCGTAGCACATGCATACATGCATACACATATACATACATACATACATACATACATACATACATACATACATACATACATACATACATACATACATACATACATACATACATACATACATACATACATACATACATACATACATACATACATACATACATACATACATACATACATACATACATACATACATACATACATACATACATACATACATACATACATACATACATACATACATACATACATACATACATACATACATACATACATACATACATACATACATACATACATACATACACACCTACTACAAACTTACATAGATACATGACATAGATACATAGATACGTACATACATACATACATACATACATACAGAAAATACCACCCAGCCAAGCAAGCAAGCAACAAACAAACCGTCAAAAAATTGTAAAAGCGCCAAACTGGCCAAGAGGACAAAGTCATGAACAAACTGCCCCCCTACATTCTGTTCCCCACACACATCTTGAGGAAACATCAAAATCAACGTGTGTTTAAAGAGTGAACCTCCTAAACCATCAGAAACTGCTCCAGGCCCCAGAGGAGGACCGGAGCGTTGGCCATCCGGCCAAACTTTCCAAGCCTCCGCCCAAAATGGCTGCCCAAAATGGCTGCGGGTCAAAAATGGGTACCCAACATTGGGCGGGCGCAAAACCCGGCAGCGCACACTACCAGAACCACCGCTGCCAAGGCAGAAGTGAACATGAAGGGCGTCAAGGGTCGATGGTGTAGAGCCAGGTCCCCAAAACACCGGCCACGGCACCACCAATTGAATTGAGACGGTTCTGCCCGCGATTTGCATAGCCAAGAAGGTGTTTGAGTCCCCCATCGAGTAGAACAATGGCCACTGGCAACACTGGACTCAACATCCCAAGGTTGAACAGGAGCTATGTGAACAAGATAAGGCTCAAGTTGCAGGGGTTCGAGGTGATGTTGTGCCAGAAGCGTCGGCAGCAGCTGGCTTCATCTGGATCATAGCGGCTCTTGAACAGCATGGGAATCAGTTTTATGGCAATCGCCGCCAGCAAATCCCCTGCGGCAAGGCTTGCCCAGGTAGCTTCGTTCCAGTTGTGTACCTGCCCATCAGCAAACTTGTGACAATCTTCTACGAGAGTTGAACAGGCTTGGAACCCTCGATGGCCCGAAATCTGTCGGATTTCGATTCGATGATTTGACTACATTTGAATGCGTTTGGGCACCAATCGAAAAAGAAAAACGCACAACTAGGCGTTAACTAAGGCAAGTGTTGGTCGTTTGTGCTCAATGTTGGCAGCGTTCGCAAAAAGTTGCCTTTGATGCGACAATCTCGGACGAAATGCGCTTTTATTTTACGCGCGACGGAGTTCCACATTGCGTTCTTGAGGAAACGCCACACCAAGAGCCGGGGAAATTTGCATTTCGATGTGTGTGTTTTTTTACGGTTTTGATGGCAGGGCCGCCCGTACGCTACTCGAGGTCGAGGAGTGCAGCCTGGTCAGGTCAAGTCATGAGCAGTTGGAGCTATGAAGCCATGGCACTTGTCACAAAATGTAGCTTGCGCGTGACAGTTTTGCATAAAACGGACCAACAGCGCCCTCACTCTGGCGACCCTCCGATTTTCGGACTTGCGCGTTGGCGGCTTGATTCCATAGCCAACCCGGCATTCTGTGAGACTGGCACGCAGTTTTCGTGGCAGGCGCCGGATTATTTGGCGCTGCTAGGGGTTTCGTGGCAAGCGCGCCGTGCAAATGTTGGGCAGCATTTGGTGAGCGCGGGTGTACGATTGCGCGGCAGGGACGGCATCTGGCGCTTTGTCAAGGGACTTGGTGTTCCACTGCGCGCGCTTCGGGGCTCCCATGTTGCACGGCAGGCGCAACACGTTGCGACCTGGCGCGCAGATTTCATGGCAGGGGCAGCATTTGGTAGCATTGCGTGGCTTGGTGCTTTGTAAAGGGAGTTGGCGCACAAGACACACCGGCACAAAGCAATCGCACATTCGCATTGCCAGCCAATCGCTCAGCGAAAATTTCGACAACCCACGGTTCTGTGTTTCCCATGGAGTTTTTAACTCCAGTTGAAAATGTTAGTTTAACCGGGAAACAAAGGCTCCTGACTCTACCCAGGAAACAATCTAGCTCTGCCAGGAAGGGAGAGTTTCCAAAGAAGAACACAAACCTTTCCTCAGCCCCCGACAACCGTTTCTCAGGGAGAAACGGTCGGCCGCCAATAGTAAACCTTTCCACATAACGTTAGTTTTCAGGCAGGCGACAAAATCTGGAGACATGGCGCCGGCCAATTAGTTTGCGTCGGCGTGCGGAGGGGGGGGGCAGGGTTGAAGACGGCGTCGTTTTCTGCGAGTGACGCGAGGCAAAAACTGACGGTGCACAGGGCGGCGGCGGCAGTTCAGCCGCGCCGCGCCCACTCAACGTCAACGGAAACGCGGCGACCTTGGTAGAACGACTCACGCGAGAGGTGGATCGCTTCTTCAGCCATTCTGGGCTGCTCATCTCTCACAGCGGCAGTGGCCGAAGCGCGTTTGCCAAAAACCTTAGCGCGGGCGCGAAAGGAAAGGAATGGTGGATGTTGGGCGGAAAAGCTTGTAAGTGGCCAAGACCGCTTCAATTTCGCCGAGCGGGCCGAAGTCTCGCCACAGCTGGTTTCCCGACACGGCTTCGGAGAGGTTGGCGAAGTAAAAGTTACGTTTTTGGCCTCAGCTGATGTTGGACTACCGACACAAAGCAGCACGCTTTGAATACGATCTGCGTGACAGCGTTCCACCGGAAGCCAGGCAGCTCGGAGATCAGCTGCGATCCGGCAGGCAATGTTTTGCATGTCTAGAAGCCGTTGCTGCGTACGTGCTCTCGCCTGCGGTAGCTGAAGCCGGAGCGGTGTCAGAGCGGCTGCGTGCAGCAGGCGGAATTGCGACGGGCCTTGGATGCCAAGACAGCCTGCCTTGAAGACGGTGTGGCGCTAATTCAGCCAAGTTGCTGATCCACGTGTGGCTTCTGAATAGCCAGCAAGCCATCTACCTGCACCCATAGAACGGTGCGGGACACGACCTGAGCAGCAAATTTCCAAAGCCAGCAGGCAAAGTAAACCTACCTCCTTGCGCCTCGGCGTCGCGGGGGCTCCACCACAACACTTTTTTCCCAAGAAGAGGCTCATGGTTGGACACGGCAACAGCTATGGGTCGCTCGCAAAACTGATTTGTCTTGAGATGAACAGCGTCAACAGGAAAGCATCGTGTTGCATCGCACGCGCGTGCTGGAAGAGCAGGGGACAACACGGGCGCGTTGCTTCCAGCCATGTTCGCGCTGCTGCACATACCCGGCTTGTTTGAACAGCAACAACGATCAAGCTGCGACAGACACGCCGCGCGCTGCTCGTCGGCAACGACGCAGCTGCCTGCTACGCTGATTTCCGCACAACCTCAGCAGGTGACTTGGAGGGAAGCGCCACGCGCCGCCCATTGGCAAGACGTGGCCGACTTTGGGCCAGACATGGGCAGCTTGCGCTTAGGGCGCCGGTGAACCCGCCCCTCATGTTGGAAGCAAAAGATAAACCGCCGACAACGGCACCGATGGCTGTGGCAGGTGCGGGTGCTACGAGATCGGACTGCGTTGCGCGCAGGCGCTTGGCGGCGCTTTCTGCCCTGCCAGGCAAACCAACGCGCCACGGCGCGGTGGGAGCAGGGTGGTCTTGCAAAACCTAGCAGAGTTCACGAAGAAGAGCACGCGCGAATGTGACACGTGCCGCAGCGGGAACATTCGCGGCCGCCAGTTGCGTGGACGCCGGCTATTGGAGAGCAATGGCCGGCTGAGGCCCGGCGATATTCACAAGCAAGGCGCAAGCGTCGTGTGTGTTGAACCCCGTTGCTGAATCAGTGGCCGCAGCGTTGAGGTGCTGAGCCTGCGCTAATCGGCAGACCGTCATGCTCGGCACTGCGTTCTGCATCTTCGCCACCTGCCAAGCATGATCATCATCCAAGGATCGCCCGGTCGCCTGTGTGTCGATGAATTCCGGAAACACGCTAAAGGGCTCCGGGCTGGCTCTCCAAGACAACCTCGGGAACGTCCTTGACCAATGTGGATGCATGGGGCTGAGAGGGTGTTGAAGTACAGGCGTTGGCCTTCAAAAAGCTCATTGACTACTGGCGAGAGAAACTGTTTCCCAAGAAGGCGTGGGGCAAGGCGTAACGCAGAACCTTGGTCAACCTTCTTAAAAAAGCTAGCGCGGGACCGCTGCTGTTCCACTACAGAGCCAACCCAAAGAAGGCACCGTCCGCCAGCGGCACACGCACGAAGCCAGACAAGGTCCCGAGGTGGCAACAGAGTCAGGCTTGAAGCGCAGCCACACGGCAGCAAGGCAATCTCGGGCGTAGCCACCGCCCCATAGCTCATCGCCGTTGTAGAAGCAAAAGCATTTGTCCTCCAAGTGGCCAGCCATGCGCACGAACAGCAGGAGAGTAAACTCTTTGTGGTAGTCTTGGACGTCGCGCAAATAATCGCCGCGGCCCCACAACTTGCACAGCGTGGTCGCAGGGAAAACTCCCGAAGCGTTGCTGGTGGAACTCATGAACTTCTTGCATTCGTGCAACACGACGAAGCCCCGGCTTTCTTTCTCAGGAGAGACGTGGAGTGGCACCACGCCATCATCGCAGATGGTCTTCACCTTGGGGGCCACAGGCTTGACAGGCATGGGCTCCGCCGTGGCCCCACCACGAAGCCAAGCACGGTGCTGGTCATAGAGGGCGTCGTAGTGGGCTCGTTGCCGGCGGAGTTTGAGGAATTTCTTGATGAAGCTCACGGCCAATCTTTTGCCATCTCCTGACTTCCCAAGAGGCAGCTTTCAGGACACGGCCGGGATGTCCAACAACTCCGTGTAGCGCGCCACACTGTTGGGCATCTTGAAGCTTGCGCGCTAAGTAGATCGCCCCCGGGCGCAGCCGTCGTCAGAGCCCAGGCTTTGCAGGTGACAGTTGACGCGCAGCAGGTCAAGGGCGGCGCGCACGGCAAAGGACAGAGACTCTAGAAACTTCACGTAGGAGGCCGAGCGTCCGCAGCGGAGGCCAAGCATCCGCAGCTAGTGAAGCCGCCATGATGCCCGCCGAGCGGGCACGGCTGCGCTTAGTTTTTTCCTTGCGCGTCTTGCATCCGGACACCGATGCAGGAGCAGGACGGACTAGTGGAGCCGGCATGGCGTGGCTGGCGAAGCCAACATGGCGAGGGGCGGCGTTGCGTCAAGCGAAAAACACCCTCCAACCCGCCCTCCAACGCTGTAGGCGCTAGAGTCTGCGGTACGCAGCGCCGCTGCAATCCCATGGAGGGGCGAGCGGGTTGTTTTCCAGTGGAAAAACAAACTACCCTAACAAAGGTTTGCTTCCCGTCGCACAAAGTCACAAACTCCAGACAGAGAGAAAAAAAGAGAGAGAGAGAGAGAGAGAGAGAGAGAGAGAGAGAGAGAGAGAGAGAGAAAGGAGAGAGAGGGAGACAGAGAGAGAGAGAGACACAAACTCATCACCAGAAAGTTAGTCTTATGCAGGAAACAAACGTCGTACGCACAAATTTGAGACAAATGTTTCGGGGGTCTGAAACAAACAGAACTCTTCGGGAGAAGGCTTGTTTCTACCCCCGAAACTTCTGTAAAGTTTGTTTGTTTCGAATTTCTCATGGAAAACAAACTTTGTGCGGAAGTTAGTTTTTGGCAGTGCGAACTAAGGTTTCCACAAGACAAGAGAGCAGTCAAGCTAGAGCGGGCCCTGGAAAAACTTGCTTCTCGTAATGAAACTAAGGCATGCCCCTGCGGCTACTGTTCCAGTGGGCTGTGTAAAACCTTGACCATCTTCACACGTCTGCAAACACATACGACGGTCGCCCCTATGGCGCAGCACTTTGTGACTGGACGGAGCACGGGTGAAGTAACGGCGTACACTTGCTAGTTGTTCACGCAACTTGTTGCAGGCTGCCCGTTCGGATTTGTTGCTGGCAGTGCGCCGTGCGAGCATGGGCGCGCGGTGGCTTTGTCATGGAGTTGACGCGCGCGGCATTTGAGTTGAAGAGGCTCAAGGGCAGGAAGGTGAGCTAGGTGAAAGAGAAGGGCAACATTAAAGCAAGAAAGGGTGGGCGCTGTGGCACTGCTTGGCAAGAATGAGTGTTTGCGGCGCACTTTGAAAGCCCGGTCGCACGGGTTCCGGCGCATGGCAGGCTCGTATTCGCAGGAGAAGGGTTGCCTGCTCGTCAGATCGCTGCTGATGCCCTGAAAATGCCGGTAGCAATGGCGCATTTCGGACGCTGGTTGATTGCTTTTCTGAGTGGCTCAGCAAAAGTGCACTTGGCGGCTGGAAGGCAGCCCTGGCTTTCCAGGGTTGCCATGCGTGAGTTGCAGGCAGGCGCTCAGCAGCTGCGCGTGGGCGTCCGCTGACGGGCGGACTACGGCAGCCATCCATCGCATTGCACCTCTGGACCTGCCTTGAGGAACCTACTCGAATTCCGCAGCGCGATGCGCGTGCGGCTAGCTTCGGCGCCGCAATGTAGCGGAGTGTTGTAGCACGCGCCTGGGATTGTACGTCAGGGCAGGTAGGGCAGTACCCAAAATGGCGGGCTGTTGCTCTGTGCTTTTGTGGCCAGACCGCTTCACGCAGCTACGTGCGTGTGGATGGCATCCACATCTCCGGCGGCTCTCCGCGCGCAGCGAGGTCCTGGAGACGCTTTGAACTGGAGTGATCTAAGCGTCCGCGTTCCGGGCAAGGCAGCCCATGATTCGCTAGTCGAACTTTGTGTCTGCGTGTGTTTGTGTGTGTGTGTGTGTGTGTTTGCTTTGCTTTTGTGTTTGCACGCAAGTCGCTCAGCTCTGCTCCATTTATTCGTGGTCTTGGATTGCGCGCACGCTGCTCTTATCTGTCGTCTTTTGTCGCCTCTTGCGCTTCTTTGCTGCAGGCGCAGCTCGCTGCGACCCATGGGAATGAGCACTACGTCGCTTACCTCGCGCGCGGGCGATCAGAAGAAGACAAAGCCGTGGTGCGCTGACACGATTTTGACTAGCGCCCGACTCCGTGAGAATTGGCTAGCGCGCGTCTAGGATCATTCGACTTAAAGCCGTGAAACGACGCAGCTACCTCCACGCACAACCCGCCCCCATAAGAGCATGGACGGGTTGTCCTCAGTACGCGGCACGCGGTGAACTTGAGAAGCAAGGTCTGCCAGCAGTTGTCAGCAGCAGGCAAGTCTCACAAGCAACAGCGCTGGCTGTTTGGGAAGAAGCAGCATTCCCTAAGCCAGCAGCAGGACGCCTGCTAGATAAGCTCTTGCAACGTGTCCGATCCGGAATGGAGAGACGCGCGTGTTTGCGGTGAAGAAACAGCAGCTGAGTGTTGCTCCTTGCATGGCCACCAGAGAACAGACACTTTCAATCAGTCACTGAAAAAATACGCATGTGAGGCTATACAGTCCTTTAATCTATTTCTGTCTTTCTTCCTTTCTTTCCTTTCTTTTCTTTCGTTATTTCTTCCTTTCCTTTCCTTTTTCTTTCTTTCTGTCTTTCTTGATTTCTTTGCTTCTCTTTTCTTCTCTGTTCTTTTCTTGCCCTTCCTTTCTTTTTTCTTTCTTTTTCCTGGCTTCTTTCTTTCTCTCCCTTCTTACTGTCTTTCTTTGCATTTACATATCGGTCTCTCTACCTATCTATCTATCTATCTATCCATCTTTCAGGCTATTTGTGTATCTGCTTTCTTCCTCTGCACCTCTGTACTTATTTATCACTCTCTACCCTTCTCGCGCGTAGCTAACTACTTGTTCAGCAAACTTACCTCTCTCCGCTATCTCTCTCTCTCCCTCTCTCTCTCTCTCTCTCTCTTCTGTTTCTCTACGTATCTATTGATCTACCAAGCTTTCTTTATCTGTCCATGTGGATATTTGTCTGTCTATCTGTCTACCTCTCTTTCTGTCTACCCACCCATGTTTGTCTCTATCCGTCTATCTCTGTCTTTACTTGCAAACCTACCGATGCGCCTATCACCTGTCCCTCTATCGATCGACTGATCTCTCCATTTGTCTATCTGTCTGTCTGTCTATCTCCTATCTCTATGTGTATATCTCTCTCGCTTTCTCACCTCGCCCTGCGCCTGCCACAAGATCTGCACCTCACCTTGCAAAAGCGCTGCGCCTGCCCCGACATCTGCGACTGATCTTGCGGAAGTGCGCCTGCCCATGGAACCTGGGTCCACCTTGCGAAAGCGCTGCGCCTGCCACGAAATCCGCATGCGCCAGCGCGCACGTCTGCGCCGCTGGAATTTGCAACACGTCCGCGCCGGCACGCGCACACGCCGCACATGCCATGTAATGTTTACCTGACCTTGCCAGGTTCGCCAGACCGACCTAGAACCTGGACCATTTTTGGTGCCGGGCTAATCTATTCGGCACTGTGAGTTGGTTGCAATGTTCGTGCGTGCCTGGGTTTTCCTTCTGCTTGAATGCTCTCAGCCAGAAGACGGCAAGACTCCACGTCCGGCACGTGCGTGTGCGCTGGTTACTCTGTTTCGATGCGGGCGGTAGCATGATGCTAAGCTTGCTCGAAAGGGCTGCCACGCAAAATCCGGTCTTCTGAAACTATCTATCCGCGCCGTACGGAAGTTCCTTCTTTAGAGAAATCCTTTAAAAAAAGTAGTACGCGAAGAGCACCCCCGAAGCTCCGGCAGAAAAATCACAAGTTCTTCCGTGCAAACGTACCGCGCGAAGCGCGCTCTCGCAAATCCAGCTCGACAATCACAACCTTTAATCACAAAAAGCAGTGTTTGGAAAGCGCGCTCTCGCATCTCCAGCTCGGAAACCGCAGCTGTAAAACGCAAAAGCAGCACGCAAATTACACTTCTGCAACTCCAGCGTCGAAATCTGCGACTGTAAGCGCAAAAGTAGCGTGCGTAGTACACTTCCGAAGCTGAAACTGACAGCCTTCTTGCACAGATATGGACAAGAGAGGTTGACAAGAAAAATGGGCCATTAGGCAGGAGCGGCTCGCAGAGAATCATGCGCAAGGGGGCATCCTACGTAGCATCATGGGGAACGTGGTGCGCAACATCACGCGCAGCACACACGGCATCATGCGCAACATCATGTACAACATCACGCGCAGCATCGCGAAGAGCTTCACACAAAGCATCAGTTCACAGCATTGTGCACAAGAGAAGTTGACAGGTGAGATTGTGCTGCGCGGTCTTAGCGCTTCCTTCTGCTGAATTTCACTCACTTTCGATCCTGGCCAGAAGACTTGCACAGGCATCCATCATGTGTGCGCGCGTTGGCTGCCGTGTTTCAAGGCAGTCGCGTATTTTCCTGGGAAGAGACCCCAAATACTATGGGTTTAACTAGACGACGGGTGGCTGGGAAGCATAGAAACAAATGAAGTACACTGTGACGCCTCCCCCACCTGATGAGCAGCAAAACATAAGCACGTCAATGTCCCGGCTCAAGGTTAGCTTCTGCAGGTTCGGCTGAGGACAGGACCAAAACCTCTAGCTGAAGACAGGCACGCAAACAGCAAAGCACTTGCGTGCGAAGCAAGGGTGTGGTCCTTGCTTTCGCGTGGTTCGAGAGAGGATCATGCGGACAGTCATTGCCAACAACATCGCAGAGTTCAATGGAAGCAAGTTTAATCAGGTCGATACAGTATGCCGTAAAGCTGTTTGAGAGCCCTGCCGTCACACGTAAGCATGCCAAAAGCAACATCAAACAGCGAACAGTGGCCGAACCACATGCCCGGCAATGCTGTTGCAAACATGGCAAAGTCCACTGAAGTGTTAAGTGAATTCTTCTGCTGACGTTGATTGATTTTGACTGCATCAGGCCTGCTCGAAGTAAATTGCGAAGGTGTTGAACTCTAAGGGATAGGCGGTGTTGTTGTAGGTAGCACAAAGCACCACCAAGAAGGCAGGAAGCCTCACATCCCGTGGAATCCGAGCTCTTGACGTGGGAAGGGGGTCCTCCACGGTCGGGGCTGGGACCACTGCCAACGCTGATTGCTGCAGGCGGGGCTCCTCAGTCGGGTCTGGGCCCGCGTCTTGAAGTGTAGCTCCCAGGATTTCCGCTGGCAAGCTGTTTCTGGCCCCGAAGTGGTGACAGAAGGCTTCCCCACCTTCCGACAAAAGGGCAACATGTGACACGTGACTACCAGCTCTTGCACGTCCGTGCTTATCGCTTCCGTCGCTTCCAGCTCTTGGGCGCTGATTGCTTTGGCTCAGCCGACTGCCCCGACGGCTGTGGCGGCTCTGGCGGCTGGTTCGCACGCTGCGCCGGGGCTCGGCGTCTTGGGAATGGTGCAGGGGATTGCTGTCAAGATGCTGCATGACTTCGCCTGGAAGTGCCAGCATGCCCCCATCTTTTGGATCCTCGGAGAGGTGAAGTTGCTGCAGTTGGCGGGGTCAACATGCACGAAAAGCCCCCCTTCTAGTACGTCTGGGCCTTTTTCAGCGTCAGTTGTGTCATTGTCTTCCTTTGTGGGGAAGAAAGCCTCCTTGAATGACACCCGACAAGCTGGCTCGAAGCACAGGAGGAGGAGAAGGAGTGCTTCACCAGCAGTGTGAAATGTGGCCATGCCTTTCCAACCAAGCGTGTCGTAAATAAGACCACCGATGGTACAAGAGAGGGCAATACAGATGGTGAAGACGGACAAGGTGGTTGACGTCGCCTGTCTGGCCCTGCACTTCTGAGGCACCAAACGCCTCGAAGGCCATCCCTTCCACGGCGCAAGTGAGGTCAATGCCAGACATGATTGCAATTTCTGCAAACACCGCCCACTCACTGGTCGTGTAGTAAATGTCAAGTTGACCATGGCCAATGGCACAGCCACCCACAATCCGGCTCGTAGCAGCAGCTGTTGCACGGGGATGCGTAGTATGAAGTTCACGGTGATTGCCAAACCTGCGCGAACAATGGACCATCCCATTTCATCGTAGTAGAGTGTGTAGCAGGGAAGAAACACCGCATTGAGCATACCGTTCAAGGCATGAGGAGGCAAACTGACACGTAGGTCCAACAGCATGGGAGGCTCTCGTGGTCCTGGTCCTCAATGCCCATGATGTCCATGATGAAGCTTAGAGTGGGAAAAAGCCACTTGACTTTCAAACCACCCTGAAAGGCTGAGCAAAACCTCGGCGGAATGCCCTCAAGCAAGTCTCAGATTTCAAATGCCATGTGATATGTGGGTGTGGGTCAAAAATAGGGTGACCCCAAAATGGAACCCTGCTAAATGGAGACAAGGACTAATGGAGACAAGGACTAAAACCTGCGCCCCATACCCATGTCAAGACCAGGCGGAAAGCATGAGCATGCCAAGGATACTTGGTACTGGAAATGAGCCATGGGTCTGCCCAATCGCCTCTCCGGTGTGGCAGTTGCCCATGGAGTCGAGGGTCGAAGGCGCCTGCGAAATTGCTTCGCAGCGGACAGTGACACCAGCTGGTTCCTCACATGGGCAACCTGCACATCCAGGCCAATGAGGCTATGTCAATGGAACTTAGCATCTCCGTTGGCAATTCAGTGAGGATCCACACCAGCCCCTTTACAATGATCAGCAATCAACGACGAGCAGTCTCTGTCCCAAACGAGCTGAAACCAAACCAGTCTGCACTCGTCACGAAGGCAAGCAGATCATCTGCACGCCGTCAAATGCGGGCTAGTGCCATGCATCATTCTTAGACTCTGACAGTGTCGACGTGCGGACAAAACCCTGGTGGCGCTCAAGTGTCAAACCGTCCAAACAAAAAGAAGGAGAGCTCCTCATCGTAGGCGGCCGCGATGTTTGGACCTGGGTGTCATTTGCAAGGGAGATGCGCTGATTTTGCCCAGACCCCATACTAATCAACCCGTGCCGTGTTGATTCATAGTGGCCTGGGGGCCCCTCCAAAAGTGGTCTGATTCCCGACATTTCGCCCAGGCAAAAGCGCGCCCCCTATAAATAAAAAAAGGGTTGATTAATATAGGGTCAACGCTACCAGAACCAGTAGCAGACTTTGAGCAGTTCAATAGGCCCTGCGCAAGGAGCCATGCGCACTCAGCCCGGCACCACGGAATCTGTGCTCGACTCTTGCGAGAAAACCAGTCAAACCTGAGGTGCGGTGGGCCTAAAGACTGGCGCATTGGCAAACAAACCACTTCAACCAGCGTTCTACCTTTTAGACTACTTCTTTACCTGCAAGTTACCCCTGGGTTTTGTGTCCTTGGGTACCAGCTGATGTTGCAAATGTGATTCCCTCAAACCCCCGCCTGGCCAGCTGGCACACTGCAGCTTCCTGCGAGCTCGCCGGGAAGGCTGGTGCCTGGACGTCTCTCGACCAGGGGTGCACCGCTGTATAACCCCCCCAATTGGCTGCATGCCTGTAGGGCCTCTGTGGCTGCATGCCTGCTATACGGGGGTATGGTCTCTTCTGGGCCATTAGGCGTAATGTTGGCACTCGATTAATCAACCGGGCGTCAATAATTGCAAGTTGTTTTCCTTACTCTGGTTCGCACCCATTGTTTAGGGGGACCAGAATAATTGAAAGTTGTTTTGCCCGGGGGGGGGGGGGAAATTCCATAACAAAACTCCACAAATGAATTTTAATCATTTAAAATAACTCCTATAAAATAAACTATCAGTTGCTTTACTCAAAAGCATTCCCCTTTCAGTTGGTGGCCCACTTGCTTAAAAGCATCCCCTTTCAATTGGCGGCCCACTTGTTTAAAAGCATTCCCCTTTCAATTGGTTGCTCAACCACAGAACACAAAGCCAGCTGAAACCTCTCAAATTTGAAAACCATCTCCAGCCCTGAAACTGCAAACTCTTTACTAAACCGTGTTTAAAAAATGAACAAAAAACAATCAGGACAAGGGTACCCCTCACAGACCCCACTGAACCACAATAATGTCATTCTTTTAGGGACCACATTAGTTGCAAGCCCCCAGCCCCCCCTCCCAGAAAATAGACTATCAGTTGCTTTACTCAAAAGCATTCCCCTTTCAATTGGTGGCCCACTTGCTTAAAAGCATCCCCTTTCAATTGGCGGCCCACTTGCTGAAAAGCATTCCCCTTTCAATTGGTTGCAATACTAAAGTAGTATTCCAAAAAGTATGCTCAGGAAGAAGTGGTTGCAATACTAAAGAAGAATTGCAAAAAGGAAGTGGCTGCAATACTAAAGTAGAATTGCAAAAAGGAAGTGGCTGCAATACTAAAGTAGAATTGGGCCCCAAAATCCTCCATTGTTTGGACGTCCCAAAAGCCCCCTTTATTTGGGCACCTCCATTGTTCGGGGGGGGGCCCTTTATTTATCAAGTGCCAACATTACCCGACATTGCACGGCGTATCTCTTGAGGGAACTGTACGCTGGGAGCGAGGTATTTTCCAGCGAGTCGTTTGCAGTCTCTGGGACTCCCAAGGTGACTTGCTGGCACCCATATCTTGAAGGCTGGGGTATCACACAAAGTGTGGCCAGGCCGCACCAAAGCGGGATTGATCAAATCTTCGTGGCCAGGTGCAATTGTGTTTCTTGCACTCCCGGCGTGCCAATGGCCAAGGACCCAAGGACTGGCCCGTGAGTTCCGCACGCGGCAGGACCTCCGGGGTCGTTGCTTACATTCCACGTTGGCAGGTCAATGAACATCGACCCATGAAAGGTGAAAGCTGGAACATGCGCGCGCTCACACACACACGCAAAAACATGAGGCACAAGCACCAATTTTGCTAATTTCCCAGACCTCTGTGCACACGCAATGAGGACAAAGAAACGCCCGCAAGTTTGGACGTGGCCCGATTGTCACTTCTCACATAGGCGCGGTGTTCAGAACTGCTGGTCACTTTTGCCACGATCGGCATAGATCTGGGCCAGGAAGGCATTTCTTGTCTTGTGTTGCATCGATTCAAACATGGCCATGTTGCCATTCGTGTTGAGCCTGGCGTAAGCATGGCGAAAAGCGCTTTACAAAAGAGTTGTCTCTCGTGCGCTCTCAGCCATTCTGTTTTTGATCTGGATCAGACATTTTCTTGGCGGGACATCCATGTAAGAAACACACACACACACACACACACATGGGCACACACATGGGCACACACATGGGCACACACATAGCCAAGCGTTGCATCAAACCTCGTGTCTTGGCACCCTACCCCCAAGCAGCCCAACCAACGCATGCGACGCACGGACCTGCCTGCGCTAGGTCTGTCCAGGAGACGCCTGGGAGTCAATCCCTTGCCCATCCCAGCCCTCAGTCCTACCCCCGTTCCGACCTCTGTCCTCCAAGCCTCACCCTCCCCTGAAAACCATGTGCACACGCATGCGCGTGCTGAGCGCTGCTGCGCAACGCCCTGGCATACAGCGCGCGCCGGCGCACATGTGCGGATGTGAGCCTGTGCGCGCGCAGGTGCGTGCGTGCAAACATACACGCGCGTCGCCTGAAAAGGGTCACGAAGGCTTGTTTGGGATCCTCCAAAATCCTTCCCTAATGTGACCAAAAGGTCTCCAGCCTGGCTCCAAGCCCAGTTGGGTCGCCAAGTGTTCCAGCCTGCACTCGCGGTCTCTCAGCTCTGCTTAATGTTGCGCTCTGTTTAATGTTGGGATAGTCAAAAATGCAAAGTTCTTTCCTTATTGTGGTTCGCCCCCGTTGTTGATGGGGACCAGAATAATTGGAAGTTGTTTTGCCCGGGGTGAAAAATCCAAAAAACATATCCACAAATCAGTTATAATTTAACCCCCCTTCCCCCCCAAACAATGACCCAAAATCCATGTTGACCCCATACCAAATGCCAACAAATTCACAAACATACCCAAACAATCACACCTGAAGCTCCATCAAAAACTGGCCTCAACCACATGTAGCTCCTGCAATACTAAAGTAGAATTGGGCCCCAAAATCCTCCATTGTTTGGACGTCCCAAAAGTGAGCCTACAGAATTCTAGCGCCTCCATTGTTTGGGGGGGGGGTGCGTTTATTCATCAAGTTCCAACACTACACTCTCCAGTTGGGGCATCCAGACGGTTGCGGAGAGACTCCCCAGATTCAATTCGCAGAGCGATAGTTTTGCCCACACCCGGAAAGCCTTCGGCCTGAAGGGCCACCAACGCGACATAACGAACACCTTGCCTGCTGCCTCAATGGCTCCCTCCCTCCCTCCCTCCCTCCCTCCCTCCCTCCCTCCCTCCCTCCCTCCCTCCCTCCCTCCCTCCCTCCCTCCCTCCCTCCCCTCCCTCCCTCCCTCCTCCCTCCTCCCTCCCTCCCCCTCCCTCCCTCCCTCCTCTCACCTCCTCCCTCCCTCCCTCCCTCCCTCCCTCCCTCCCTCCCTCCCTCCCTCCCTCTCTTATCTACTAATCGGGTCACACACCCTGGTTGAATTCCTCTTCATGACACTACGCTGTAGACTGGGCCAGTATGCACTCCATGCACTCCAAAAGCTCTCTAGCTGCATCTCCCAAAGCCCTGAGCCAGCCACGAGCTCTTCAACAGTCGGCGCTCGCCGCGCAGTAGCCTGCGCGCCGGAAGGCCCGGGCTTCTGCCGCACCCGATTTGCACCAGAGCCTGCTGAACAAGTTCCGCATCTGCCATTTCCTTTTGCTGCGCCTGTCCACGTTGTTCGCTGCCAAGCGGAAGTAGTCGAAAACAAAGGGCTCCTCTGGAGTCAGCCTGACGCGATGTGGCCGCAAAGCAGCCAGGGAAGGGCTGGCTCCTGCGCCACTGTTTGGGCAGAAATTGTCCTTTTTCTTGGGCTCTTTCGTAGATGGGGATTTGTGCCCATCAACTGTTCTTGAGGGGCGGCTTCCCTGTAAAAAAAGTCATCGCCACAAATATGCCTAGCAATGTTGGCGTGACACTGCATGCCACCCCCTTCCACAGTATGAGACCCCCTGTGTCTTTGACCAAAGTAATCTATCAAGTTGTACGTTCTGCACTTTACGCTGCATGCACGTGTCTCAGGCCCTTATGTCCATCATAAACTTTAGCTGTCGCTCAAGCAACTTGCGTGGTTATGAGGCTGCCTAAAGCAAACCACCCAGCAAAATACTGCGCGCACGCACAAGCACTGGTGCTTGTATTGTGTCAGGCATGCATCAATGATCTTGCCCACACTTAAGCAGAGCAAGAGTTGCATAAGAAAACAGATCAGACTCGTCTGCGAAGCGGGCAAGGCCCTCAAGTGCCGTGCAGCCACACTTTACATGGCTCTTTGCCTGCATGGGCCTGTGCCTACACGAAGAGGGAATCCATGTTGAGGCCAAGCTAGATTCGAATGAGTGAGTGAACAAGATTGCTGACAAGAAAATGGCACCATAAGTCAAGTAGCCCAGTACACTCAGCATATTGAGGGGTGTTGCTCCCTGGCAGTTGATGCTGGCCACGTAGATAGACGTGGCCGCGCTCTGCCAGTCTCAGCATCTGTAGAGCTTTCAGAACTTACATCGGAGGTTTCAAGGTCCGCACCTGTTCCTGACGCGTTGAACACATCGTAAAGGACCAGAAGCAGCACCAGCGCCGGCACAGTTGGCATCAGCAGGCCATGCCCTGCCGGCGCGAAATGGACCACGGCGGATCCAAGCACACCTCCCAACATGGTGCAAACGATGACGGCGATGCTCATCGCAGTCTTCAACTGCTCCTCTCGCGAGAGCCACCACCGACTTGGCCATGGCATTATCCAGGCCAACACGGTGGTGGCAGTGCCGAGGCTGCCGTGCAGGCATGCTGCCAGGGCCAGCCCAAAGAGCGGGGCGTAACCGGCCACCAAGTAGCGGAGACAACTTTTGTCCGGCAGAAGCTGCAGCACCGCCTCGGTGGCCAATGTCACTGCGGCCAGGGGCACGCCCACCAGGGTGGCCCCGCGCCCAGTTCACCGGAGCTCGGCGAAGCGGTACAAAAGCACCCCGGAGAGGAAGGTGAAAATGATGAGCACATGCTTCAGGCGGCCGTCTGTGCTGTCTTCCGTGCCCACGTTGAACAGGGCCCGGCACAGGAAGAGCGCGTTGCCCGTCATCATGGTCAAGAAGGACTCCCACCTTATCAGAGTCAGCACATCGGCATAGCCGCACACCAAAGAAAACCCGCTTGCCAGCAAGACCTTGGACCATGGCCCGGGGCTCAGCTTCATCGGGGGAAGCCGGATGCGTGACGCTTTCTCGGGACTGACAGTTTTTCTCGTGAAATGTTGCATGACCCATACAACAAATCCGCATCCTGCCGGACGTGCCGTGTGCATGCTTATTTGTGGGCCATGCAGAAGTGACCCTTATCCTCATTCCTCTCCTTTCATGCTTGAGCCAGTTTCGGAAAGCATTCTGCCTAGCTTGTCCTTAAACACATCCAGACGCTCCAGGGAGCAGCGAATCCAAATCTCAAGCTGATCATCCAAACGGAGAGAGGATCTTCAGATCTGACATGATCTGAGGCCAGACCACAAGTGTCATGGGCCACGTCACCAATACAGAGGCCCCAACACACTCCACTGGCCCAGCTCAAAGAGGCCTTATCAGCCCTAAGCATGGAAAGCAATAACGACCCTCTCGATTGACGAAACCTTCGGAAGAGCCCGCCAAACTGAGCGGAATTCGGGGCCTGTCCAATCTTGACTTGGAGGGTGTCTCAAAAGGGTGAATGCCCAAAAATTGTTGTTGTCCTCTTTCCCTTGAAACCAACCCTAAAAAACAAAACAAAACAACCCCCCCCCAAAAAAAAAAAAAGCGAGCCAGCCACCCTTTCTTCGGGTTCAACGACCCGTGACAACTTCCCGGCCGCTCGCCTGCCGCAGGTCAGCAGGAGCTGCAGGACCTCGCAGAGCTCCAGCACCGGCACCGCACCGGCGCCTGACTGGACGCAAGCTTTGGGCCGGACCGAATTGGGTGCGACTCAAAATCAAAAGACTTGGGGCAAACCGCAGGTCATTGCTTCCATTTGCCAAGGGTGCCATTTTACATCTTTCTGAGCCACAGCCAATTGAGCCACAGCCAATTGAGCCACAGCCAATTGAGCCACAATCAAAACCTGGGTTATTGGAGGGTAAGGGACAATCCCATCCAGAATTGGGTGCCGCCTTTTCAATCCTTTACACTGGTTTGGGTAGACCACTTTAATACCGGGTTTTGATTGTGGCTCAATTGGTCCTGGTTGACCATGGTCTGGTTTCAGTACTGCCAACCCTTGGAATCCGCCATGCCACCAGTCCCTCGACGGAATGTTCAGCACCCCGTCCACAGAATCGAACCAACCACAGGGTCACGTTTGAATGAAAAATCGAAACACGTCGTCGGGCTCCATGTTGGTGGACCCTAAAGCGGATGACCATAGGCTTCTGGAAGTCTGGTGTCAACCCAATTGTTCGAGTTCGGAGATGCGACCACACATGATGCAAGCTCGAACCCATTAAAAGGGAGCCCCCGTTTTTGTGTTTCTCCTTTTTTTTTGGGGGGGGGGGGGGCCTAGAAGCTGGTGAAAGGGGGGGGGGATTCTCGCTGGGTTCTCGTTACTCGGAAGAAATAGATGTAGACCAATCGTTGGTGTATTTCACATTTTGTTTTAGGGAACTGAAGAAATTTGGGAGGTCAGCCACACACGAGCAGAGTTATTGAATGGATAGATTTGTTGGAATTAAGATGGCCAGTATCAACTCACTTCAGCAGCAAACTTGGTCACACCACTAGACTGCACCTGTCCTGGCAGGCCAGGTGTGCTGATGTCGCCACCCCGACGGGCTTCTTTTCTGGACCCGTCTCCACCCCCGCCCGCCTCGCAGCGCCAGCCTCGCCCGCTGCAAGTCCCGGAGGCCAAGGCCCAGCCGGGTCTCGTCAAGGGACAAGCCCCGCAGGCCTGGGGCCCAAGCTTCGGCTGCTGGCGACTGCAAACACGTCCACCAAGGTCTCTTTGGCAATTAGGCACAAACCGGAGAAAACCACCAGCTGTGCAATCCCTGCCCCCCCCCCCGGCGCAAAAAAGAGAGAAGGAAAACAAACAGAGTGCCAGCCCTGCAAGGCCCCCACAGCAGCTCCTTTTCCCAACTATTGCCCAACCTTTTCCCAACCCTTTTCCAACTTTTTCCCAACGTTTTCCAACCTTTCCCAATTGTTTCCCAACGTTTTCCAAGTTTTCCCAAACCTTTTTCCCAACTTTTTCCAAACCTTGCTCCCAACTTTTTCCAAACCTTTTTTTTTCATAACCTTTCTCAACTTGTTCCCACAAGAAAGAGGCCTCAGCATGCCCACATGAATGGATGAGTGAACTGATGATGAACCCAACTCCTGAAACTTCCTTGTTAGTTCTGGTCATACTCTTAAGCTGCTCTTTGATGGTAAAAAGGGGGGCCCGGGGGGTGGCCTGTTGATGGTTGCCTGTTATGGTTTTTATGTTCATCTCAAGTCTGTGTTCCCCCTTATTCGTTTTGAAAAGGGTGTTTTTAGGGAGCTTATTTATCGTTTTCATTTGAAAGAGTTGGGCCTTTTAGTAGTTATCAAGTTCTGGGGTGTTGGTGGTGTATTTGTTTTGTTAGTGTTTTCTCACTAATTTTCATTTATAGGTTAAAAGTTCAGTATAATTATAACATATAAGATTTTACATGTTATTATTATATTATGATTATAATTTCAGTTCAGGATAATAATCTAATTGGTTTGTCTTACTTCTTTCATACATCATTTTACAAATAATATTAACATCTCTCACTGTATTCTGAACATTAAACTTTTTACTTTCAATAAATAATTTGATATTTTCTTTAACATCTTCTCCTTTCTCTTGACTATAACCCAACATCCATAATATATCATAAATCATGTCATATTTTCTTACTGATTTTAAGAAACTGTTTAATATAATCGTAAGGTGGTATTTTATTTACAGTTAGAAATATTAAAATCTCATCTTCTACATTTCTATTATTTATTCTTTTTATTTCCAACAGACATTTGATTAAAAAATGATTATCTCTCCAAGTTTTACAATTTTCACATTCGTCCTCTTCACCATCCATTGAATAATTAATCTTATTATTTATTATTCCATTAGGTAAATTCAATTTATACAATTCCATATTTTCTTTTTTGAAGTGACAACAATCATAGCATTTTTTATTGATATAATTATTGATTTTATCACCGTTCATTTTCCTCTTAATATATAAGGTAACCTTTCTTTAAGTAGTTTTGGCTAGGGGGTTGCTGGTTGGCTGGTCTGGGTTTCAGGTTTAATTGAAATGTCTTAACCTTCTTGTTAGTTTAAAAAAAGTTGTTTAATCATATTATAGCTATAGGATAATATGAACAAGAGGGCAACAACAACCGTGATGTCAACATGAGCGGTTAGTGCGAACTCACCTTGCACAAGGGGTAGTGTTGCAACCCTGCTGTTTCCATCAAAATGTCATGGCAACAGACCCCCTTGCACAGACCCCTCTGTTTCCAACTAACTTTGACTGAAAATAGGCTCCAACAGTAGGTGTTGCACAGACCCCTCTGTTTCAGGTTCGTGTTTTGACAAAACCGTTGTGGTCACACTGGGTCATGCACACACCCTTCTGTGTGCTACATTTTGCTTTAGAACTATTTAGGTATTAATACGTTTGTTTTTGTATCGTATGTGTTTCTCGCTTCGCTCGTGTTTTCTAATATCACTTTTTCGAACAACACTACCACACTCACACTCAATAGTTTCTTTTCGTTTTTCATTAATCGTTTCTTTATTTTGGTGGTAGTATTCATGACTTTTCTTAGATATACGTTCTTTGTTTTTTCTGAGTATTCCTTTCTCATTTGCTGGTAGTGTTCTTGATTGTCTTCTTTCCATTCATTGAAGGTTCTTCCAGCAACACATCTATTAACACAGTCAGTATTTTTGATATGATAACCCTCCTGTTTCAGTAACTGTTCTCGGTTTTCACATGGGTAATTTTCTAATAATTCAATCTTACAATTGTCCATTCCATATTCATCAAACAATAAACGACAATTCGTTTTAGTATTCCATTCCTCTGCTTTCTTATGGTTTTGCTTATGTCGTGCCATTCTTTGACTTAAGTTCTCGCATGTACTTCCTATATAGCATTTGTGATAACCAATATCAGTTATTTTGTAAATCTTCGCATTTTTGTATTTACTGCTTTCCATCTTATACTATCATAAATTATCTTCTCTTTAGCGCAGTTTGTAATGACCGTAGGGTAAAGAAGTAAAGGCATCTAAGTAATGTCTTTTATTTTCAAAATTACTCAAGCTCTGCTTGACTTGAGACATTGAGAATAATTGATGATTCCGGCTACGAATAAAATTATAAGTTATTTCGTGCTTTTTGTTTTGAAACAATGCTTCGTGGTAGTTCTGATATGACAGTTCTTTTTTCACCTTGTGTTTTACTACACCTTTTGACTTTTTATGTTCATCATCCTCACCGTGTATTGTAAAAGCATATGACTTTGGTTTGAGAGCTATGAATTTGGTAATTATCTTTGAAGAGCATTCGTCCTTAAACATTCCTAAGACCTTTTTATTAGTTTTGTCAAAGCATGGATGTTCATGTGGATAGTCGCTAAAATCCATGTGTTGCTTTATATCATTGAAATCCTTATAGACATCATCAGTGAATGTTTGAATTACATAACTGTCAGTATCTGTATATACTAATTTGATGTTTTCGTCATACTTCTTCTTAAGGACATCATAATAGAACTGATACATATGTAATTTACTTAAATCTAAAATAGTCATTCCTAAAAAGATTGGTTTATCCAGTTTCAGTTTTGCTTTAGTTTTTTCAACTCCTACCAGATTTTCATTTATAATAAATCTGTTTTTGAATGTTGGATTATTCACACATTTCCCATATCTAACTTCATTATCCACCAGTTCAAAGTCCATGTGGTTTCGCTTGTCTTCCATAGTTTTACCGTATACACTATTATTCATCAGCTTATAGAGTTCTTTCTCAAAATCGCTTTTGGCTTCTTTCCTTTTACCGGTGTTGAAGTCAATCCACGGTTTCAACCATGCCCTCTGTTGAAACTTTATTATCCTATGGACTTTACCCATTTTCATTCCCATTTTCAAATAATACTGTAAAGTCTTGATATGAACCACATATTTTTCTTTATCCTTTAGATTTAATATTAACTTACTTGTTTTCTCGTCCTTGGGACTTTTACCATCATAATATATTTTGAAGACTTGCTTTTGATAATCGGAAAGCATATTCACATTTACATTCATTATTTCAGGCGCTAGTGGATAGTCAGAGTGGAAGTCGTGCAATGTTTCGGGATATTCCAAATCAACTTCCATAATATAACCGAACTCATCGTTTTCATTCCATTTTTCAACACTGGGAGTTTTCTTTGCCCACTTGATATTTTTTAGCGGTAACTTCTGGGACATTGCCAAACCATACAAGTTATTAGCATCCAAGTAACTAATATAATTTGATGGCTTGTTCTCATCATATGCTTCCCCCATATACTTATTATTTGCCACTGCTAATTTATGACTGACTTGACACATTCCTCCTCTCATTCCCTTTTCAACCATCTCAAACATTTCTTGGTCATGCAATTGTTCTATTTCAACACCAGTTTTTAGAAGCATCGCGTCCCATGCGAAATTTGGCAATGTATAATAATGAGCGGGGTCTAAACCGTAGTATTCCATACACAAGTCTCTAAAGTTTTCAAATACATCGGTCAGTAGTAAAACATCAGTTCTTAAATACAAGTCGTGATACTGCCCGAGTGTTCTAATCCCGAAGTGCTTCCATACTTTCAGTGCCCTTTCATAATCTTTATCACTTACATGTTCTTCACTCAATTTACTGTAAAACGCTTCTTTCGGTGGTAAAGCCCTTTCCTTAAATCTTTCAAAATCATCAAAGTAGTCATAGGGATAAATACCCTTATCGGTCAATAAATCCAAATCTTCATCGGTTTTAACATACGGGTTTCTAACGCTGTATCTGAAATTGTTCTTCCAGTTCTCACGCTTTTTATCATCCTCATATTTACTCAACTTCACCAACTTATCCAACGAAGACGATAAGAAACTGAAACTGTCCTTGAAACAAAGATTTTTAAAACCAAAGGTTATAAACTTTTCGCTGTTCTGAGCGATACATTCTATTTTAGAATTCTTGTTCAGTTCGTGAGCCTTGTTGATGATTAAGTGGGCATCGTAGTTTTTAAGGTTATGAAGAAACACAGGGATTTTATAATATCTCATACTAAAACCAAGATTACAATCATCGTGGGCGCATCCTCTGTAAGCTCCAGTAAAGTGACAATGGTCACGAACCTTCCTTCTTGAAGGAAGGGAAGTCTCGTGAGCCTCTGGCGAGGCGTCTCGAACCTTCTTGTTCTCAGGTTTAAAATCATTTCCACAGATAAAGCAAGTAGTAGCATTTTCAAAGTCTTCCTTGTCCTTTTCAGTCATGATTATCTCTTTTACTTCCTTCATCCTACTAATAATATCTTCTCTGACTTCATTGATTTTTTCAACAAACTTATCCATACAATCTACACCTCTGTATAAGTAAGGCTCACTACTTCCGGTTATAACATTGACTACATTAATCATAAAACCACACGGACGATGATTTTGATATGATGTAGTTTTAGCTTTTGCCGATTTGCTTTTAACATCAATAGGCACAGTTAAACATTCGAAGTCGGCATAGATTACGAATGGAGCTTTAAGTTTCTTGAAATGGTTTTTGAATGCTATTGTTTCACCTGCTTCTGGCATTTCTATTTTTTGACCCTCAACTGCTAGACATCCCTGTTCTTCGTGTTTCTTTAAAAGTTCTTCTGATTGAAAACCATGAGAGCAGGTTCTACAATG